AAAAATCGACACCGGGAAGATAAGATGACGTTTCGCTCCTAGTGAATGACAACCTTATTCCTCCCAACCCCTTTCCAAAGCAACCGCAGCGCAGTTGCTATGATACCCAAAAAATTATATACCCGAAAATCGGTTTGACTGCATACCGGCCTATCTAATTATTATCAACGTTGAGGACATAGATCCCCTGTTTTTCGCATCAGCGGCGTTAGGCAAGCATGTCTACGGACATGCAACAACAAATGACCTGCATTTTGATATTTTCTCGCTCTCGACCTGCATGTTTAGCACTTGTTTTTTCCCCCCCTTGGCTTTCAACTTGCTTCGTTATGAAAGTGCACGTCAGACATCGGTGGAAAATCATTCGTCAATAAGGGACCCAATAGCTGCACTCAAAAGAGTCCATGTACATCTTTGAAGGCGAATACCCGGGCGATCGCAACCATGATTCTTTCTTGGAGGAACAGGGGCATGAAAGGTTTTAGGACAACTTGGATGTGCCACGTATATACTTAGTCGATAAAGATTACGAAGCTAAACAAGAACGAATAATGAATTTTAGAATGCAATGCAGAAGAAATGTGATGTGCGTGATGGTTCATCGGCGTGATTCCTTCGGTCATGTCGATATAGTAGTTCAACTGAGTATAGATTGCTGTATTAAATCTTCTAGGCCCCAACGATTCCTTACGCGAAAATGATTCCCTTGGGTGAAAACTCTTATTTAGTGTACAAAGGTATCATCGATCCCCAACTGTCATACATCCTTGATAAAGGGCCAATGATAAAGCCTGTTCCCTTCCCTCCCTTGATTCCAAAAATTGTACAACGCCTCGTGAAATGGCACCGTCTAAATGCGTATCGGTAAGATAGCGAGTCGACTACTGGGTCTCTGAGACACTGGGGTTCGCCTGCGCCTCCTGTGCGGGTTGCTCTGCTGTGGCCTGAGGTGCCTGCTCTTGGGCGGGCTGCTGAGGTGCTGGCGCAGCGTTGAGTTGTGTAGGATTGGCGAGGGAGCCATCCGGCATAGCGATGAAGTTGCCGTTTTGGGGCATACCACCAGCAAGCATGATAGGGTTGCTATGGTGAGGTAAAGCACCCATCGCGGTAGGGTCGATGCCCATAGGGAAACCATCCATGCCGCCGCCCATCATCATAGGTGCACCGCCATTTGGGACGGTGTGATCGGTAAGCAGGGATGCTCCGAGAGAGCCTTCTGGGTGCAGAGGGTACATGAGCGCCTCCATAGTGTTACCATCAAAGACAACCATGTTTTGGATAGGCTGTTGAGTCTGTCCGAGTACATTGATGACATCTTGAGCAAGCTGACCACCGAGGATAGCGGAAACAGGAGAGATTTCGCTGACAAGGTTCTGAAGGAAGCTGCGTAGAAACTCGGGACGAAGTGTTTCACTGGGTAGACCAAGGGCTTTGTGCTTCTGGGTGGCGATCTGCGTGAACATCTTAAGGTCTTCGCGATTGCTGGGAACACGGCCATTCTGGAGTTGCATGAACTCCCAGAGAGCACGGAGACAAGACAGAGCAGGGGTTACACTCTTGAGTCGTCGCTTGGACTGAGTGTACTCAGTAGGGAGGACAGCGACGTCGCTGGCGAGGAACCACGTGGAATATAGCTCGCGCTTGGTGACAGACTCGATTGTTTTAGGACCTTCCTTGCGGGTCTGAACGTCAACGATAGAGCGCGTGCGAGTTTCTGTGCCAGTGGCTGTTGGTACGTTTCCAAGGTCACGCTGGATGACATAATCATGCTCGATCAAATCGCTGAAGATGAAGCCGTAGAGGCCATGGCAACCAGCAGCATAGAAAGCCTTGCAGTTCAGGCGTGTGGCTGTGTTGATGATGTTAAAAGACTCGGGGTCAAGGTCAGTCGCAATGACAATGTCGTAGGCAGCGAAATAGCTTGGGCCCTTGGTCTTGACGCCTTCTTCGTCGACATGAACATGAACACGAGGGTTGAGCTTCCTCAGGGCGGCACTGGCAACCTGAGCCCGGTTTTTACCAATGACGTCCTCGTCATCAGGAAGTAGAAACTGAGCACCACGGTCGGCTTCGGTAACGGTAGCACTGTCGAGAAGAGTCAAAGAGCCAACACCAGCAAGGACAAGGTTCTTGGCGATCTCGTTGGCGAGAGCTTTAATGGTGATGAGAAGAATGTTGGCGCTTTGGATCTTTGCTTGAGCAGCCATGCCCCATAGGCGAATTTGACGGTCATAGAGAGCAATCTCCTCTGTGACGTGTTAGAGTCTGTACCAGCTGAGTATGCGATTTATGGGTGCAAAACTTACCGGCGCTCACAGTAGCAGGAGGCGGTGCTACTGGGAGGCTAAATCCTTGGTTCTGGCCATTTGGGAGGTTCATTCCAGGCTGCATCATGAAAGAAGGATCAGCCATAGGCATTTGCATGCCCAACAGGGAAGGGTCTGCCATGAGAGAAGGATCACCCAACATAGCCAAAGTTTCAGGGTTCATCGGGTTGAGGACGTGATTAGAGAGGTGTGGGATACCATTGCCGTTCATGTTGGCGCTGACATCGATGGGAGGGATTCCCTGTTGCGCTGAGGTATCTGGAAGCTGTTGCACCTCAGGCACAGCTTGAGGCTGGCCCTGGTTTTGATTTGAGGCGTCCATCGAAGTTCAACAAACGTGAAGGTGTGGTGAAGATGAGAGGCGATGAGACGAGGTAAAGCCGAAAAGGTCCCGTATAAGGCTGAGAGGTTGCGGATCGAAATCGCAAAAGCGTTGTTGTGAATAAGAAGGCAAAGACGCGTGACGAGACAAGCCCAGCCTGCTGGGATTATGTTCGGCTCCTCCCAGACAGAACAGACTGTTTTCGTATTATTTTCATTCACTGTGTATGCGGGTATCCGAGCCGTCGCGGGTAAGAATGTTCTTGATTGCTTGCTTGTCAAGAGGAGGCTGAAGATAATTATATCTCGATTGGATTGAATGTTGGTTTTGGAGGTGAAGGAGTCCGCTGTAGCTCAGTGAGCTGGCATGAAAATGATTGGTTGACAGAAATTGTTGGCGGGATCGGCATCCATTGCCAGAAGGTCGAAGTGGGCCCTGAACGCGCTCTGGGGAATTTATTGCCTGCAAGGTACAGAGTAGGATGACATAGGTAGACCTGAAGAGGATATGAATGCAATCAAGTTTTATTTACATATTGCCATGATCAATGAAAGTATGTATACTTAGATCTACATAGTATCTTCTTTATTGGAATAGGTATCGTGCGAGCCTTTCCTGCCTATGCCTTTCTTATTGTCCCAACTAACAACCACCTTTTCCCGATAAGCGGGAACTAGATTGGATCTATGGTTACGCTTCTATCAGTCACGTGAGATGAACAATTATCAACCTTGTCTTGATGTATTGTATAGTAAACTGATACGATAAATGAGTTTTAATTAGAGAGATATGAGTGTGCGAGGTGGCGCGGGTCTTATTAACCTGCGTATGGTGTAGTACCTATCACCTGAGATCCGCAGACCACAACTCAAGATCTGTCGCTTTTGACAGACTGAATAGCCTCCACTAATACAAGCCCAAGACTATTTCGTGGTTACTGTGGATGCCTAGGGTAGTAGGTATATATCACATGTAGTTTACCGCGGGTCCTATAAGACCAGCAATTGTTAATGAGTTCTCGATCCTTACTGTCAGAATGATCGGTTTCTTTAGGATCAGAGTCAGGTTCATGACAGTATATGAACCACCTATCCAAGGCTCCCTCTTTAAAACAGGAAGAAACAAAGGAAATAAAACAAAAACAAAGCCATCACAGGACATGATAAGTCCAGTCTTGCGGAAAATATAGAGCAACGTTGTGTCACAATGCCAATCTAACAGGTTGAACGCACCAAAAATAACACTCGAACAATGTGGCACATAGTACAGCATCCTTAAAACATTTAAAACCCGCAAACTGCAAGAGGAATATAGAAAATTAGTTTTAATCAAGAATAAACAAAAAAGCGCAGAATATTACCTCCTTTTGCTCAAATGAAACGAATATGTGGCAGAGTTCAGGCAATTCATCCCTGTGGCTTATTCTACCGTCTTTGTCTGTCCCCAGCATATGTTGCAAAGGCCAGCCAGCCCAGCCAGTTTTCTCACGACACCCATTTTTTATTACTCACTTATATCAGACCACAACGCTGCCAACCTGTTTATGATAATAGTGCTTTATTAACCTGTGTTCAAGTTAACAAACCCCTCACCGCTCCATTATCGTACCGTTTTATCCACCTCTGACGCTATCAATATTCGTCTTTCTTTCTCTTGGTGAGCCTTGCCCTGTCCCGTCCATACTTAGACTACCTATGCCCGCCCCCGCCAAAGTACGGCGGCTGTCACAATGATGCTCTACTGCAGCCAAGGTCGGGTCAGGCGTACACTGCACACGAGCATACAGTACCAGAAAGGGCAAGGCAGAGAGAGAGAGAGAGAGAGAGAGAGAGAAAAAGGCGCATATTGTTTTTGTAGAGTTAGCAGAAGGGCTTCTGCGACAAAGAAGCGAACCTGTCCTTCGGCATACTAACTGACAAAACTCCCATAGCCGAACCATTCGCACCGTATTATACCTGCTTTGTGGTTGAGACCACACCAAACCCAGGCTGTTCCTATTCACGTGGTAGCAAGATTAGTAGCGAAACCGACACCTTTACTCATTGCACGCACGATTCATTGTCTGCTGACAGCGTGAACAACATCGAATCAGCACCACCATATCACTCGCCATTATCCGTCCGTCACTACTACGCCGGACCCTTTATCCACCTTATCACCTAAATATACCAAAGACAGGGTCCTTCGTCAATCAAACACTCGATTCGCTTCGCTCCGCCCAAATCCCCACGTCATAAGTCACAGTCACAGCCATACTTAGTTATAGTCCGCAACGATTAGCAGTATTGTACCCAGTATTAGCAGGAAACCCCCAGTCCGCCCAGTCAAGTCCAGTCCCGCAGTTATTCACAATGTCTGGCCGGTCGGGATCGAACTCCCACCGTCGCCATTCTCGAGAACCCGCCGACGACTTTCCACCTCTTCCAGTACCCCGACTGCCTTCTCTTCGAGCCCTTGCCCACGCGCAACGTGATCGTGATCGAGATAGCCCTTCGCCGAATTCCCACAACCGCCCTCAGTCTCGACATTGGTCAGCGGCTGCTCGCCGCGCCGAGCGTATCCGTAACCTGGAAAATAGACCTCCAGGCACCGGCTTCGACGACTTTGAACGACCCATGGACAACGGCTGGCCGACATCTCGACGTACTGACCGTATGAGGAACGCCGAGAACAGCAGACCCGCCAATCTTGAAGACATTGATCGACATCTCGAAGAAGCAAACTCCCACTTGAGGGCCGTCCTTGATCGCCAGCACCCTCCCCCAATGCCGCCCAGCTTCTCCCCTCCGCTTCGTCCTACAGACTTGCAAGACTCGAATCGACGGCATAAGCGCCGAAAGTTGGATTCTGACAGACTCGCACCCTTCCGAAGCTTTCGTTATGGAAAGTACGGCCAGGTCGAGCAGGGCGATCTCAAGATGGAGATAGTCAGCTGTGATGGTGGCATGTTCTCCAACGAGTCGTCTTATGCCGCCGAGAATATACTCAAGAATGACGCTTCGGTGTATTGCACCAAAGGCAATCGATGTAATATTGTCTTGCGGCATCAAGGCGGCACCGTCTTTACTCTCCGGGAACTGGTCATCAAGGCACCTGGGTCAATGAACTATTCACATCCGTAGGTCGCCCCATGCGTTGCCTTGTGATACCGGCACCGTGGCTGACTACCTATGCACAGAGTGAGAGAAGGAATGGTTTTTGTGGCCATGACCCAGGATGAAGTGCTGAACCGGACAGCCCAGTATCAGATCCAATATGCGCCACACTCGAATGAGCCAAATCATGAAGGAGATTCAAGAGTTTTGCAGTCTATTCCAAACGAAATAATATCAGTTCAACACCACGAGAACGGAACTACAACCACGAGAGCTCGCCCGCCATACTCATATCGAAGCAATACCGACGACTATGAGCCACGAACTCCACAGATGCCTCGAGAATTCGAATCCAATCTCCCAGACCTTCAAGTTACAACGGAATGCAGCGATGATGAAGATGATGAATATGATAATCCTCGTCTTTACCGCCGAGCACCTGATCGTATCGGCTCACTTCCTTTCGAAACGCTAGACTCTGATTCTGATGAGAATGATAACCCATTTAACCCTGAATATCTTGACGACCATCATCCCTCCCACTGGCGCCTTTACAGCAGTGCTGCCAATACTAGTGGTCCAGGCTTCTCCCCTCCTTCACGCCGCCGCGAACGAGAAAGAGGAGCGTGGGAAAGAGAATGGGAGCGAGAACCTGATCGCTCAAATCGATCCCATTCTCTCACCGCGGCCTGGGAAGCCCACGCTTCTGCCACACAAGATGCTGTACGAGCTGTCGGCGGCGGTCAGCTCCTCTCACCACACGCTCGCTTTTACATCGAGAAGAAGAAGAGCAAATGCACAATTCGTTTCGATCCTCCCGTTTCAGGCAGATTCATCCTTTTGAAGATGTGGAGTTCTCACCATGATCCCACAAGCAACATTGACATTCAGTCTGTTTTAGCTCGGGGGTTTGCAGGGCCCCGTTATTTTCCATCAGTCGAGTTGCGTTGAGATTGCTTTTTGGAAGAGCGAAACAGAAAGGACTCTGACTTTATTTTATACTTGATTATGGCAATATACCCGTTCAGAGTTGCTGTTTCACCATTATTTTCACTGTGTTCTTGATCTGATTCATATTGGCTCACAAGTAGTTATACGAAGTACTTGTTGGCATTTGATGGGATGCACTTGTGGAACAGAGACATGTACTGCAAGGCGCTCACGACTGTATGACCACTTATAAGCACAAAGGCTGCGTCAAGCGTACAAATGTTGATACACGCACATAGCGAATGATCAAAAGAGAAATTATGAATGTGTAAATCACCACTGACTTCATTCGGGGCACCATGGCCCAATGTCGACCCATACGCTACAGCTGAAACAAGAAGGTTGGGGCTTCTGCAAGCAATTAAATGACGATGATGGTGGAACCCATCAGGGTGACGAAATGAAATGAAGGCAACAGGAACAGGGCTGGCTGAAGCTGCGCAGGATTGTGACAGGAGTTCGTGCAACCTATTCACAGATAGTTTATTTGTCGAATTTATGCGGTAGCGGCCCAGCCCCAGGGTACCTCATATGGTTGGAATTGTGTGGTAAACCTTTATCAAGCTGAGTTATGAGATTCCATAGCATCGTCAAATGTAGTGGACCTATCAGAGGCAACTAGTATTGTAATATGGCCTAAAACGGACGACAAAGACACTGGAGGAGGGTTTGCTCCAGAAGGCGAGACTGTTGGATATGATAGATTCCGTATTTAACGAAGGAATGAGTTATGCTAAAATTTAACTATATTTCTAAACTTTATCTATAGACATCTGTGGACTACGGTTTGGTACAACATCTATCTGTACTTCACAATAAGATCTTTCGGTCATTCGTCCAGCGTGCCACTGTAACTCTCAAGTACCCATGAAAATCGCATGGACCTGATTGAGAACAACTCATGGTCTGGGGTTTAAAGAGGCATGTGACGCCATGTTTGATTCTGCTGATCACACCAAACGACCACAGGATCCAGCCATGGCCCGCCCACAGCTCGTGGCAACCAAGTTTGCCAACGTGCCGGGTTAAAACTCTGTTCCTGTTCTAGGCCAGGGTAGCCCAAGGGACCAGACACCCAGATTGATGGAAGGGAATAGCCTGGACTCGCCAGAGGGAGTCTGAGTTTGCATTAGGCTCATGAGCTGAAGAAGGTATGTGGACGGAAGAGCTTGAGATGGGATGGATGGCCACTTTGCTTTTTGCCTTTCTGCAGGTTCCCGTGCAGGGGTAGAGAGGAGAACGTTGAAGCCGTCCGTTCGGTGCAGTAGTGTAATGCAGGTGATACCGCATGATTTATTTACTAACTGCGTATTATTATGGGTAGTATTGAACACACTTGGCTAGGGACCTCGAGCGATGCGATATGGCATTAGCATGTAGTATTGGCAATGAAGTGTTTTGTTTCAGGGTGTTGCAGTGAGTGAAATTCTCCCGAAAAGGGGACAGCCGGTAGATCCTTGCTGTCAGGGTTCAATATTGAATCGAAATACGGATACCAGGCCCAACCATCGCCTTTTGAAGGGTCATTATGACTCTAATATTCGTACGTATGTCCAGAAAAGAGAGACCCAGAACCAGCCTCCAGTTACGTCAAACTCAAACTCAAACCCACAATATCGATTAAATAGAGTGTACTTACAGAGAGAGACAGTGGCGTCTTTTTGCATTCCTCAGCAATAGGGCAGGGATCAACGCTAGAGCGTTACCAAGCTCGGCTGGCTTGCTCTCCCAGCAGGTGGTAGTGAGACACTAGGGCTAGGTGTTGGACGACACTGAGCATTGTCTCGTCCGGAAAGGGTTTCATGAACAAAGGGAATGTATTTCTCAGAAATGTAGATATGATCATCCTTTTATTCGATCACTATAAGTACGTGCCTATTTCTAGGCATAGCGCAATGCATGGCATCGATATGTAAACTGGTGGCTGGCCGTCGACTTACCTGATCAGTACAAGTCTGTTAGCCGCTAAAGAACCCCTCCCCTCCACAGCACCAGAGCCCGACCCCGGCTGAATCCACCTTCAAAGAACCTAACTTCAAGGTGTACGCCGAACAGACAACCAGCAAACACTAACTTGGCCCAACCATTCGTCAAGGCAGCCAGTCCAGTTAGCCAGTCGAGTGTGCCATCAGCCGAACCCGGCCACACGCAAAATCAGAAGTGGTGTTAAGGTTCTCATCGTCCAGCTTGATATCTCCGCAGCCATAAACCTCGTCTCTTCCACCGACACAACCTTTTTTTCTCCCCAGCTGTTACACCGAACGACGACACGCAGAATCGATAAACACGTCTCTCCACCACCAAACACCTATACGATCGTCAGTGCTAGCGTCTTTCTGGCGTTGGTCCAACTGGGCTCCGTTGCTCTGGATCCCTGCACCATCAATCTCCCAGACCCCTTGGAACCGAGACGACAGCAATTATGCATCCTCTGGATCCTCAGGCCCAGGGGCTTGTTGACGAACGACTTACCGAGGAGGAGCATGGACAGTTCCCCATTGAATATCATTCGCGTCTAACAGGACCGAGCTCCCCTGCGTCGTATGGCTCCAGTATTCGCGCTTCGACCGCCCGGAGGCGAGCCGCCATGTCAAACAAACCCATAAACAATCATTTATCAGAAACCACATCTCTCCGTCTTTCCCCAGCGGCTCTCCAGACTCCTACTACTCCTCAATCAACACCTCGCTCAACTCCCTCCGCTGTTCCTCTCAACTTGACTCCACCTTCAGCAGCCCATTATCTTCCCAGCTGTTCCGTACGAACTCGCGATCCTGGGTCTCATGTAGAACCAACCTCTCCAAAGCTTCAGTCACCTTTGCGCCACTCCATTAACCTCAACAGCAACACCCTCGACGTTGAGTCACAGCACTACCGGATCTCCAGCGATAAACCCAGGGCTCAGTCAGTCGATATGTCATTCACTGGTGATAATAAAAGGCCCACTGCGAGCAGGACTCGATCAAGTCTGCCTGCTGTCGTCGAAGAGCCTGGTCGAAACCGTTTCCCGACTTGGTTTTCTCGACCCAACGCACCAGCGCCTTTATCAACAGCTATCCCAGAACGGCGACGCAGCACATCATCCGCCTCCAAGTCATCAACACCAACTTCAGCTCGCTTTAACTTCTTTGGCGCCCTTACTCCTACCCCTTCTACTGCTTCTCCCACTGAGGAGCAAAACGAGGCCCTTATGAATCTGGACATTGAACAGGGTCTTTTCCCCAACGGCGTTCCTGTTGAAGGAACCACATTCTCGCCATCCGCTTTTAAGAATCTTCAGATGAACGCCACCGGACTGTTGAGCAAGTTCCAGGCTGCTTATGAGCAACGTACATCAGAGTTCCGGGAACTCCAAGCTGAGCGCGATCTTCAAGAATCTAGCAAGAGTGAAGCCGAGCTCAAGGTCGAGCAGCTCGAGAAACAACTCGAGGAACAATCCACAATCATGGCAGAGCGTGACGCCATGATCGAGTACTTGCTCAACCAGCTAGCTCATGAAAAGGACCGAGCAGATCAAACCTCAGGCGGCGAGAAAGAGAACACCACCTCAGCAGCTTCAATCGTGTCAGAGGATCTGGGTGTTGACGAGGACCGACTGAGACGCTGGCGAAAGAGCACATCAACCTCGTCTGACGACGAGAGTGTAGACGAAGTCAGCGTGTTTTCTCGATCACGGAGCCCAACATTCTCCACCACCATATCAGAGATCAGCCCTATTACAGCTCCTACGGCCCCAGCCGCTCCGGCGAAGCCAGTGACCCTTGAGCCTCCTCGCGCGGCACGAAACAGCGTTCCTCAGATGAGTCCATTCCAAAAACTCATCCGAGGCATTTCCAGCGAAAAGCCTAAGCCTGCACCTGTCTCGTCATGCCTCAACTGTCAAGGACAAAACGCTAGCATGGCTTGGGACACTGTGAATCTACTCAAAGATGAAAACAAAGGACTCAAGGTCAGGGTGGAAGAGTTGGAAACCGCAGTTGAGGGTGCTCTCGATGTTGCCAACGGTTTCGGCTTATGATACAAGTTCAAGTCGTGTTCAAAAAAGAAAAAGATGATGACCTAATGTGAAACATTGGATGGACATCCGGCTGCATTGTTACACAAGAACGTGGCGTTACAATCACATCGCACTTTGTCGGCATCTTCAAATGGTTTATATTGTTTTATTGGAGTTTTATGGTTTATAAAGCCGGATTGGGTATACGGCGGCGTTCTTTGGGCATTTGATACCATTCTGCATAGGTCTAAAGACCAATTTTACCTTCGTTAGCTAAGAGGCAAGATAGCCTCGATAGATACATTTATGTGGATTGAACCACTACATTGAATAAATCTCAGATTCTTGATCAACTCTTGATTAAATGCTTCCCTGTGAACTCATCGGAAAGAGCTGTATGTACAGGAACAGTATTGGTGCTGAGCATTGTCCTGCTCTTCGCACATTTCAGCATTCCAGCGCTTGGAAAGAGAAAGGATCTTTCGTCACCAGAATACCGATAGGGCAAATGTAGTGTATCCTAGGACCACGCAATATGTCCGGCTCAGAATGTTTGAAGTAGTTTTGTTCAATTTTGCCAAACAGCCATACGATTTGCTGCGCTCATTAATCTGGAACAGGTATCACCAAACATAACCTGTCGCTCATAATTAAAGAGGAATTCCTCTGCTTCGAAAGTTGATTGAACATGAGTCCCAAGTTTCTTGTATGAGGACTTGGAGTCCTACTTCGGAAATTCGACCTGAGATTTCTCACGGCAAGCTGTGTTTGGAGTCACTGGAAAGCTAGAAAAGATTGACAAAGTCAACGCAATCCCAGGCCAGTCATAACCATAACCGCTATACGCTGTCCAGCGTCGAGACACCTAATATCATGGTATCGCACCCCAGTATTTTCAAAGCTACAGCAACTTCACAGTAGCTTCACCCGGTCATCTCTTTTTGGCCCTTTCTTTTAATATTTCTTTTGATTGATAGGTTCCGTAATCTGGTCGAACACCTTTCTCGCTTGACGAGGTATATGTACAAAACTTCCCCACACCCAAACAGTGCTCAAGATCTTCCCGCTTTATCGTCTGCCGTAAATGCCCACTCTAATGGTGCTCCTCGCCATGGTGGTGCTCGTCCTCGAGGAAGAAATACTCGTAGCCGCAGTAGACAGTGAAGGCGACTGTCGCGATGCCGAGACCAGGGAAACCGCTCTTGAGACGGTTCCAGCGGGTGTAGGGGCCCTGGTATCGCCAGGCCTCACTGAGAGGGAGTCAGTATGACAGGTCTTGCGTACGGTGTAGCAATTAGCAATAGGTTTTCACGGACTTTCGCTCCCAGGGATCGTATCGAGGCTGGCCAGTGGATGCTTGGAACGCTCGCATGTTGAAGCCAGTGATGTTGGGCTTGGGTCCGCCCGCGGCGGCTCGTAGTACTCTACATGGCGCATCTGTTAGCTTATGATGGTCAATTGCAGGAGTCAATTGATCCGGTAGAAGATCTAGAGGATCGCGTCGTACCTCGTGGCAAGCATCGTGGGCTGGAGACGAGATTCTGGCTGGTAGTTGGATCTGACGACAAATGAAATGGGCGAATGGAGAGCGAGCCAATTCGACCTTAGTGATACTGGTGCTCTTTACCCCGTCACTCAAGTAAAACTGGGGCTGTTTCCTCTACAAAGAAAGAATATCGGATCAAAGTGGCCGCTCTCTCCGATATGATGCACGGACCATATGAATCTGCCACCTCGAGCTCCTCATCTGTGGCCCTGATACTGTAGTCTTGAGAAAGCATATCAGCAAACCATTATCGAAGCTTTTAATCCACATTCTGTACTCTATTCATTATCTTCTGTCTTACAGGCTAGGAAATAATTCTTATAGCGACCAAGGTACTCGCCTTTTGCTGATTGGCTGAGACCCCCTCATACATATCTTCGTCACTCCTCCAACCCACTCTCTCCACCATTCGACGTGGAATCAATAAAACCACCCGCCGGCACAGCTCACGATACTTTACGACTATTCGACGAAGTTCTCAGCTATATATGGTACTCGTTTCGATTTGTACTGGAAGTGAAGACATTTCAAGTATTTCGAAGCTACTCCAATGAGCGAAGAATCCGCAAGCACGCCGCCGAGATAGGAACCGCCGCCAAATAAACCCAAACCCAAACCCAAACCAAATAGACAAGAAATCCCACACGAAACCAAACGTCAGTAGGATTGGTATTGGAAAACAAGAGAGGATTCTTCTAGTGCCAAACATCCTGAGAACCCTCATCCAAAAGAGAAACATCAGCAGCCGCCCGAGCATCCTCAGGAAGGCCAAGCCACACCTGTTAAAGGGCAAGACTATCGCAGGACACTCTCCTACAACGGCCAAGAATTCTTCATGCCGCCGCCGCAACTTCGGGGCTTCGGCGGGGGGCCTGCTGTGGCAGCGCCATATCACCAGGGTGGCTTCCCCTCCCATGGCCAACCGCAGGGTGGTATGCCAGGCGCGAACCAGTACATGAATGCCAATGCGCAGCTTGGACCCTTCTCTGCCAACGGCAATGCGTTCACACCTGGCCTCAACAGTCTCAACACTCAAGGATTTGCCGATACAGGATTTGGAAGCCAGAGCGCAAGGATGGGCTTCCATGGCCCTGCTGCCGCACTACAACAATCACAGCATGGACAGCTTCACCAGAACATGTTGATGGAGCACCCCACAATCAGGTCGCAGCCTAACAAGGGCAGGATAAGGGAGGTGTGGAAACATAACCTGCATGAGGAGATGGCCGTGTTGCGAGATCTAATAGACAAGTACCCTTACATTGCGATGGTAAGACACATGAAGTAACACTGGCTTCAAAGATGTACTGACCGCTATGAAAAGGATACCGAGTTTCCGGGTGTGGTTGCGAGGCCCATGGGAGGATTTCGAGGGAAGAGCGATTACCACTACCAATGTCTGCGAACCAACGTCGACATGCTCAAGGTTATACAAATAGGCCTCACATTCTTCAATGAGGATGGCGAAACCCCGCCGGCACGACCAACGAACGACCTGAAGCTCGGCACGGCCGCGCAAAAGGCTGCAACCAATGCTCCTTTCCCTTGCTCGTGGCAGTTCAACTTCAAGTTCTCCATCACAGACGATATGTACAACGAGAAATCAATCGAGTCACTTCAACAAGCCGGTATCAACTTCGAATTGCTTGATCGCGATGGTATTGATCCTCACGAATTCGCAGCTCTCCTCATCCCGTCTGGTCTAGTGTGCGAGGACCAGGTGCGGTGGATTTCTTTCCACGGTGGTTATGATTTCGGCTACCTCACCAAGCTTCTGATCTGCTTACCCTTACCTAATGATGAGGTTGATTTCGATCACAAGATGAAACTATATTTCCCCACAACATACGACGTGAAGCATCTCATGAAACATGCGATCCGACTACACAACTCCGGTCTTCTCACACCTAGCGATCCCAGCAGTGCTGAGATACTGCAAAAGTTTGAACACAAATCAGGACTGGAAAACATCGCAGAAACCCTCAAGATTAAGCGTGTCGGTAATGCGCATCAAGCAGGATCTGACTCATTACTTACTGGGAAGGTCTTTTTCTCTATGCGCGACAAGATCTTTGCCGGTGACATCCCTGATGAGCACGTTGGTAAAGTTTGGGGTCTCGGATTCCCCGACTCGACCTCTAACATTATGTCGATGACGAACCAGCAAAGCAACAATGACGGCCAGACAAATGGCAACGCACCCAGCACACCCAACACTACGAGTGTCGGGCTGGCTACTACCCCTGGACCTCAAGGCCACAATGGCATCCTCAACACAGGACCTATGACGCCTGGAGGAGGTGGTGGTGTATTTGGCAGCTTTGCTTTTGGTGGAAACCGATGAGAACTGAATCCCGCAGGATTTGCTAGCCTCCAAGGCTATCAAATATGCTGATAGTGTTAATGTTTTCTACGCCTCTTGATTTTGCCCTTTTTGCCATCATCCTTTACTTGTACTCTTACAACCGCCCGTTTCACACAAAAGAGAGGTATCGTTTCGTGTGAAACAAACCGTACGCAACGCGATATCATACCCCCCTGATACTATGTGCGTCTTCATCTCTCGCTCCCATGCTATTCTGCACAGGGATCTCACGTTTTTGATATTGGAAGCTGGAAGGGTTCTAGGGGTTCAACGGGGGAAAGGGAATTGGGAAAAGGCACGGCTGGGAATACGGTGGTTTGCGTGGATCGCGTGGTGTTGGCGGTGCTACTGCATGCTGTATTGTATAGTTAAACGGGAGTTAACACTGGAATTCGACGATTGTAAAGTCATATTGACTAGTCTAAGCGCTGATTTTGTTTATGCTGTTTGTGAAAACGACTACGCGCTATGTTTGAAGCTGTGTGCTCACCCAAATATCATGTTGTACAGTTGCATAAAGATTCCTTAACTGGGTTTTGAAGGACAACCCCGTAATCCCAGAACGCCCAAACACAGTTACGCTTCGGCTATTTACAGTCGTTTTATCTTTATGTAATGTAAACCTTTTTCAAGGACTCGACGGGGAATATCTGGCCCGTCCGCAAATCCCTGATTTTGTCAGAAGGCAAGCCGTTCTTCCTTGCCTGCGTTTCTAGACGATCGCTTCCGTAGACGCTACCGTTGGGTAGCAGTCTCAGATCGTGCTCCACGTGGCTCTGTGTGTGATGGGCATACGGTACGTTTCGTGCGAGTTCATTGAGCTCGGTAGAACAGATGGGACAAACGCCGTGACCAAGCGTCGAAGCAGCTGTTTCTGTAGCATCGGTGGAACTAGTAGTGTGGCTAGCATTTGAATTTTGCGATGGATTTGCGGAGTGAGTATGGCAGGCTGGTGTTTTTAGAGCTGAGAGACCGGAGGAAAGTGCAACGTGGAGAAGAGGCACCGCAGGAAGGGCGAGAAGCTGATTGTGTGTTTTGGTGAAGAGTTCGGCGAGTTCGGCCCAGCGCGAAGGCTTATAGAGCTCTCCGTACGCCATGGAACCAGGTGGAAAGGCGAGCAGACCGCAAGCTTGTTCAACCTCACGACGAAACGTGGCTCGGTAGGGGATGAGATGCTTCTTTGCGTGGGCGATGGCCTCATTGACCTTGGACGGGGACTGGGAGCGGACAAGTTCGATGTATTGTTGAAATCGTAACATGAACTCAAGTTTACTCTGTAGAACATTAGCATAGCGTTGTAGGATCTCGAATGGGGCTGACATACGTCCATCTTGCGAAGCTCCTTCTTGTTCTCTGTGCACCATGCCAGAGCTTCAACAACACTCTCCTTCATGAGGGAATCTCGAATGCGGCTAGCAGCAACAAAGGTGTCGACGTCAACAAGATCTCTAATGCCGCGCTGGTCCGCCAACTCCTTTGCAGTTTCGTTGTACCCATGGCGAAGGAGGTAATCTGCTAAAAGCCGATCCAGCCTCTTCCTACTCCAGGTTTCGTATTTCACGTCTTCCACGGAATCCATTTTGTATAGTTCGTCGAGGTGGGCGATGCGGGCCGCAGCTTGGGTATGCAAAAGAGCTTCCTCAGCAGCACTTGTAATGAGCTTACGCTTCAGGCCACGCATTCGGGTGATCATAGCATCGACATTTCGGAGGACATCTTCCTGTGTTGCTCGGCCAGATACTGTGGCGGTAGCAGAATCCTTTAGCAGTGTTTTAAGGGCGGCAGTATCCTTCTCAATTGAGAAATGCGCCGTTCGAAAGTTCTTGCGGAGAAGCTCGGAGGGAAGACGGAGGAGTGGTTGATCCTAGTAGTGGTTATCAGCGGATGGCTTCTGAGAGGCGGTGATGGGACGGATGGTGGACTTACAAGCAACAGGTGCTCATCATGCTTGATCTGGGAGAGCTTGTGGTCTCCCATGGTCAAGACACGCTGGCTTATTCGATATTTGGCTATTTGGAGGTTAAGTTTTATGCTGAAGTTACATGTAGGGCGGGACTGGGATGCGATAGTAGCGATTGTTTGACGTTATCGTGAAGTGAAGTCGGAATGAAGTGGGTTGCTCCAATGCAGGTCATGACGAGAGTGGAGTAGAGTGTGGGAGTTCAAAGAGTAAAGATACGTACCTGCAAGACGTACACTCCCGTGCCGTTCGGAACAAGGGTATGTGGGGCCCCGGATGGATTGTGAAATCCCGCTGTAAGCGGAGGTGAGAGAGCAATGTCAGTGATGTGATGGATAGGTAGTTCTCAGGATATCAGAAAAATTGACCGCTGGAAGGATAAGAGACGAAAACAGTAAGACACTTTATGCTTCTTAGCGTATAGTTCTTAGACTACTTATTTTTATACCCTAAGACTTAGGAGGCCATTTTTTCTGCTACCCAGTAGGTAGTGTCTATAGTATGTATGTATGATACGATACCTGCCATCTTTTATCATTTGTGTGGGTGGGATTTAAAGATAGAAATTAACATGATGAAGGTATCTTCACGAGAATGAGGAGACTGTGTAATTCACAGGAACCGCAAAGTATGCACGTACTGTATTCCATGTTCAAGATTCCAATACCTTCAAGACCAGGCTGTAGGTATTAAAATTTGGTGTGACAAAACGTACTCTGGTATGAACTTTCAGTGGACATCAAGAACCCGAAAATCGGTTGGTTGCATGAAAAGGGCATACAGTGGCTGTAGATGCCTCCAGATAAGCCCAGGTAGAGAGGGAGGGAGGGAGGCTTTGATGGCATCGTACGTACAACATACATGCCGTACTCGAATGTTATCGTGACACCTATCTTTGATTGATAAGATGAATTGTGTTGATCTGGGAAAGCCAAATTGACTGGGTTCCACAAAGTGTTCTACAGGTCGAGCCTCGATTCACAAACAATCGAGGCGTCGCGTTGTGTACAATATCTGCCTACTACTAGGTAGTCACCCCCAGTACCAATATCCGTGCAAATCAGAGTCAGACGAGCCAAGGTCGGATCATCTGTCGCCTGTAGTTTAGGACGCAACCTGTTTCACCTCAGTGCATCAAGTGATGTCCAGTCTAATAAGGATGGGATCAGGTGATGAGTCGGCAGTATCTTGATGGCGTTGTCCCTCTGAGAAGGCGAGGGGTTCCTTGATTGGTCTGTGCCAGGTAGTGACTCTCCCGTAACTGGGTCAAGGATACCTACAAAGCTGACAATGGGAGGCTTATTTGTGTGTGTGAGAATCCGAAACGTATTAGTGCTTCGTGTCTGTGTTGAGAACTTTATGATATTCCTTAGAATTTGGAACTGATGAGATTTCATTTGGTAGCGAAATTACATTTGCCGTCAGGTAGTAGTCTCCTATTTGATCATGATATTCTCCGAAAAGGTACCTACCTTAGTTCCAAAGTACTGATTGTGCCTGCTCATTGTTCCGTATGATTCCTTCTATTGCACCTGCCTGGGTTCTTTCCCTATCCGTATAGGCAATAGCCACCCCCATGGAACATATGTGGCCCACCTGACCCTCCTATTGGTCGCCCTCTGAGTTCCAGAGAAATGACTTTCTGCCTCAGGCCTTAGCACGCATCCCCCCTCTTACTCGCGTCGAGTTATTTATCTTACCAGCCTCACCCACTTGCACGTGTTCACTCTTCCTCCGCCGCGTGACCCGACTCGCTCAGTACCAGTTCCCAGTTCCCAGCAGCAAGCGCCTATCCCATCCCAGCCTGGGGGACAGACCAGACAGCCCAGCTCAGCTCAGAGATTCAGTCTCCTTGTTCTTCCCTTTTTTTGTAACATAAAAGACACTCGCGTCGTTTTCTTCATTCCGAACGCGTATCAGAACCTTGGAGCTTTTCCTTCCCTTTTTCTTCTTTTTTCCTAGACTTTTTTTTTAAAGTCTTGGTTCTGGGTAGTCTTGAAAACGCGAACTTGTCGACTTATCAACTGGGACTCGCGCGATATCACGAGGTAGATCCCACCAAACACGTGAGACGAGAAAACTCGTGATCTCGCACGCTCGAAGGCACATGATCTGTGAGGTATGTCGCTTTCATGCATCTCATTCATTTCACGATGCCTTCATTCATTCAAATCATTTGCGCAAAAATACATCTCTTTCCTCTGCATTTTGGCTCCTCGCAAAATATTTGCGCACGACGATGACTCGTCATTCTTTCGCGAGATGATGCATTTCACCAAGTGGTCGCGTCTTCTACCATCATCATTAATCACTGCCATGACATGGCATCGCTTGCTATCATCGTCCATCGGCACGCTCGATGGGAGGCTCGGTTTTGCACTGTAGCCATCTTGACTAGACTGAATGAATCAGTACAAATCCACCTCGTTCTATCTTCGCCTCGCCCGTGACAAATACCGCGTTTCGGTATCACTTCGTTCTTGCCTTTCAATCACCATCAAAACTCAAGCGAGCTCTCTGTCTCTACTACACCTCTTCAGAGCATCAGATTCTACCTCTGCGACAATGACACTAGTGCATCCCATGTTCACGTGTCGCAGATGCTAAATCTTTGCTCTCTGTAATCGACTGGAGGCTTTTCCCTTTTTGCATCTCATCTACCAATACATACATACATGCATGCCACACACTTTTGCGACGGGCCTTATTCTAACATTGTCTTGTCATACTCAGATCTTTGACTAAGCGTCAACATCCCATCCGTGGTCTCGCCATCGTCAGAATTTGCTCTTAGCCTTAAGCTCGGGCGAGCTCATTGATTGAACAGCTCTTGTCCACCAAGGCTGTTTATTTCCTACGTATTTTCTTGAATCACCTAAAACGACAGAACAATGGCCGAAGTTCTTAGCGAGCAAGCAGAGCTCATGGGCTTGACCACATCCCCTGGTCAGAAGCGAAAACGTGAATCCGGTAGCCCTGACTTGTCGAGGAATAAGCGTCCTGCACCAGCTGCCCACATGTCTACCGATGCGGCCTCGTTTATGGACAGTGCCATGGAGAGCCATGCTGTGAGCGCCAATGGTGTCAACGTTGCCGATTTCAACGCTCTGCAGCAGGCAACCCAGGAACATGACCACCCCGATGCCCCAGACCCTACAAGTGCTACTAGTACTGCTCAGGCTGCTTTGGGAATGTATCCTACCCTGCATGTTCCTCCTTCTACTGAAGAACAGTTTGCTGCCCAGGCGGCGACAGACGACCACGGCCATGACACAGCTTTCAACCCCGACGTGACGCCCTCGGTCGATGGCATTATGGACCCTCCTCAGGTTGGCCCTCCCCAGCATCAGCATACGCCTCCAAATGGCGTTCCGCATGTGCCACCACGATACAATCCCGCTGCCCCCAACCCCAAGCCTACTGTTGGGTCAGAGGAGTGGCACAAGATGCGAAAAGACAACCACAAAGAAGGTATGATAAAATGACCCTGTGCTCTCTGCAAGTCGGCTAATAGTGTGTAGTGGAGCGTCGCCGACGTGAAACCATCAACGAGGGCATTAACGAACTCGCCAAGATCGTCCCTGGTTGCGAAAAAAACAAGGGCTCTATTTTGCAGCGTGCTGTTAGCTTTATTTCGCAGCTAAAGGAGAACGAACAGCAGAACATCGAGAAGTGGACGCTTGAGAAGCTGCTGACAGAGCAAGCTATAACAGAGCTAAGTGCTTCCAACGACAAACTCAAACAGGAATGTGAGCGTCTCTACCGTGAGCTCGAGATCTGGAAGCGTGTGGCCCAAAATGCTGGCCTTGAACCACCACAGCCCAAGGAGGAGAATAACACTACTACTGCATCGAGCTAGAAGCCCTTTTCATTATTGGAATACCCTCCTGCGGCAGTCGTGGACTGATCTTAACATATACCCCTACCTAATACTGTCTTATGCGAATATTACCTAGGTAAATATTTGCCAGTCAGTCCAGTTGTGTTTTCACCTGTTGTTTTTCCCCTCTAGTAGCACTTTTCTTATGGAGCTGGGAGGGACCGAGTATCAGGAAAGGGTCCCCCTTCTTGATGCATGTGAGTAGTCTCCTGGCACAGTTTATTAGGTTTGATAGTTTTAAGTAGCTTGGCGTTGGTGGATGGATTCACTCTTAGGTTGGTGGAAAGTTGAGGCAACAGATCTGCTTTACGGCGCAATACAATGCGATAGCTTGAGTGTTGAATTGAGTGGATAGATGTTTCTTCTATGGCTTGTTTCTCTGGCCTCATGACTCCCTCGGCAAACGCTACATGTGTTGTGACTCCATCGCTCATGAACATAAGTCATGGCTCATAGGTTTTGTGACATTATTCCCGTGAGTCGAGCTGTGTCTTTACAAAACAGAGTCACTAGGACATAATTCATCTTTACGAAAATATCATCTTGAGCTCTAGCAAGCCTAAAGATGGGTAGATACATCACTCTTCACTCCAAACTACCATTTTAATCACTAAAGACTTATCCGCTCATTACCTCTGTCGCTTATACCACACAACATCCGATTTTCAATAAAGATTCATCTTCATTTCAGAAACTAACAAACTGACCTAAACACACCCAGTTCCCCTGCAAAGCAGGATAACACAAGCTGGAACTTGATGGATAGCGTAATTTAAGCTAGGCGAACGACTCCGATTCCAAAACCCTTGTTGAAATGGGTGAAATATGCAGTCGACCCAAGCACAAGCTGAAACTTGCTGCCAACCCTCGAGATTGTAACCGTGCCCCCTAAGCCCAAGCAATCGCATGTTTATGGCCATAATGCACATGCTTTTCCGCAGATATTTTCGCCGCCATGATACGTTGTCGTCACGTTTTGTTGATCATTAAAATAAGAAACTTGTAGTCGCTATGCCTCCATAATGGGCTTCATGGAGCCTCCCTCATAAATGAAGCAACCATTAGGAGCGTCGTGATATGGTATTCAGGCTGAATAAAGAAAACGCACATAGGAAAGTGCGCATTGGAACGACCGGCTCATGGGAATACCAAATTCTTTCAAACCCAAACAAGTAACGCGACCAAGTACAGAAGTCAAATGTGCCATCCCGAGATTGTCCTTGAAAATATAATTTGGGTATCGAATCATATGACAATCGTAACCGTCCGCCATCCGAAATAATCGGGTAAGGTTTGCATGTCGGTGCCGATATTGGATGGATTTGCAACCGAGAAACAAATAGAATGCCATGGGTCATTACATGGACGTCCTCTGAGCGACCTGTGCTGTCTAACCAGGCCTTTCATCCTAGTGATCTATAACCATAAAAGAAGAGCACTCGTGTGTTCCACGCCATATATAAAAATGCAGTATGGAGAAGCATCAAATATGGTGGGTGTGTCAATGCATGGCGTGCCGAGGGACGTCGTCCACCTTCACACCACCGGGAAGTCCCCGATTATCGTGTGACATGTAATCGTAACCGTGGGCAGGATGTACTTGTGTAGGTTGTTGCACGCTGCCTGTTCGGAACATGGGGTTCTGGTTTGGATCGTATCCGCGAGCGAGCCCATCGAAAGAGGTGTTCATATAAGACTGAGCGGGATTCATAGCAACACCAGGGCTGACAAAGGTTGTCGCCGGTTGGCTGGGTGGTTGCTGTGTAAAGGTGTACATGGACGACGAGTTGGGGGCCGTGGAGCCGGGCTGCCATTGCTGAGTGTACATTGCTGTATTATTCTGACCTCCGTATTCTGAATGGGCACTAAAGATGGAAGCTCGGCGGCTGGCATCGTGTGCAGGAGGTACACCCATGTCCAGAGTCAGGTTGCCCCCGGTAGCGTGTACTGAAGGTTGGCCGTTGACTGGTATGCCGGTATTCTCGACAAAGGCGTGTTGATCGTGTGGCATTTCGGGCATCGTCGAGGGAGTGTACTGGTTCCCCCTTACAGGTAAATCTCCGCCAAGGAAAGGTGTCCCGTGGAGTGATGCGCCTGTATTACCGTGGCCGTTCGATGAGGGCATAAGCCCATGGACCGCTGTTAATTTGTTTGGCGGCACGTCGTGGTCTTCTTCTTCCTTGAGGATAGGTCCATGGTCATCATTGCCCGATACGTATGATTCAGGAATTTTGTCATCTGCCATCACAAAAACTTCAGTGGTTCCATCTTGGTTGCGTTAGTATATACCTGTATATGGCCAACATGTACTTACCAATTTCTCCCAATTTCAACCTTTCTTCCTCCCTGGCCACTTTGAAGATCTCGTTCAAGAAGGGTCGTTTCTTTGCGTTTGCTGGGTTATCCTTGTCTGCAAAGAAACCTGAAAGGGCCTCAATAGTGATCTCCTCCAGCTTCTGGACATTGAGCTTCAACTTCTGGATGTCGGGGTGCTGCCTCGCGTTGGGCTCTACGATCATTCTGAGAATGTGGTTCAAAAGATGAACTCGTTCTGGTTTGACAGTGTCAGTAAAGAGCCCATCAAGCCCCCAGAACATAACAAGGATAAGCATTACCTCGCTTGTAAAGATGGTCTGGCTCTTTGTGGCGAACCTTGTCTTCTTTGGTAGGACCCCATGGCTTTGGCCACCAGTCAGGTGCTTTCTCGTCACTTCCTGTATAAGGATGTGTGGATTGTTTCTTTGGCTCCACAGCCTTTACCCATGCCTTTGCCATGAGCTTGCAAGCCGTCTGCTGACAATTCTTGAATCGCTGATCATAGAAGAGACCGACTTCGAGGGAATTTCCGATCTTGATGCACTTTCTTATCGTTGTCGCTACAGTCATGGGAATATCGTCGTCGTCAGTAATGCCATGCCGAGCCCGTGGTCTCTTTCGTCCCTGTCGTAATGACGTTTCCCAATCGTCATACTGAGACATTCGACGACGGTCTATCTGGCGGTTTCGTGGGAAATCCATGGGTTGTTTGTAGCTGTCATGACTGAAGTCTTCGTTGATCACGGGGCTCGCTCCTAATATTGGTCAGCCTTCGAGACATCCTGTCAGGGTTAGATAAGGAGTCCACCAACCAGCATCTAAACGTTCAACGACCTTCAAATACTTCTCCATGTCAAAGAATTGCTTCTCATAGCCACTTCGAGTTCCCGAAGTGCCAGGCCCGGAGAAAGTTTGTGGGCTTCCATCGTCCATGACCACAACTAGGAAGTATCGTCGAGCGGATATCCCACAAGATTGTCGGAGGGCCTCGTCAATTTGCTATTGCTTTATGTCAGCGTGCGCTCCAGCGATTGAAATAAATAATGGTTACAATTGGAGGTTGTCGGCGATGCATGTCCTGTGCGTCGGGAAATCGACTATCGTCGATTCCATCGCCAACAAACCGTTCAGGAAGATAGGGATGATGAGGGTAGCGGGGGAATGACTCCCTTGACCACTCTCTGACCATTGTTTCGACTGGCGTCAGTGGAGGTCGTTGAAGCTGGCCGTTGATGGTTGAATGCGGCCTCCCGAAAGCGCAGGCTGAAGATAAGAGAGTCGTGTGATACCGGCGCTTGTCAAGGTACCAGTGCTTTCTTTAACTCGGAGATTTCGAAGACGTATCCGTCTGTAGTGAACCGACTCGGTAGAGCAGTCCTGTTACACAAGTGAAGCCAATTGACCAGAACTATTTCAACAAATCATATACTACTGTATCATATCGCAGTAAGGATTGTCAGAGTTTGAAATAGAGTCAGCAACGTATTCGAACAACAAACTGCGTAGGTGCTGGTCGTTTTGGTTGTGTTTATATATCCTCGAATGGTGGTTTCGTCAGAATGTTGAACAATATAGACAGGGGTCAGACAGTTTGCGTGGTTGGATCCAGGTGAGTTCGCCGCCGGTCAGACTCCTCCCAGGGGGGTTGCGGCTCAGTCCTTGAGAATGGGTTCGGGAATAGTCTGGGTGTGATTGAAGTAGAACGTATGCGGACGACGACGCTTTCCAATTATCAAAAGCAGGAGCAATCCAAACCCTATAACTTGGTTTCCAGTGGTCGAAGTTTTGTTACTATTGATGTCTGGGGAAATGGGGTGATTCGTAAATTGGGAAGCTTATGTATTGGAGGAGTAGCTCCGTAGATATCTTCTGAGTCAAGTTGATACTCGAGATCAGGAATAGGTACGCTGATGTTCGATATGTTGTCGATTGTTCTCAGTAAAAAGTAGTCAATCAAGGTTTGCAGTGTTTCTACCGCTCCATGAACATGGACAAACGCGAAGCACGTGGCAGCCCACGAAAGGGTAATCCGAGTAAGGATTTCTGTGTTTGTGGTGGTAATGGTGAGTTGAAATTGGAACAATGCTTCGGTCTTGAGGGCAAAGAATTGGGCAATTATAACACGAAATAGAAGTAGTGGTGAGAAGGCAAAGTTGAACCGAGCAGTAGGTTTCAATATCAAGAAGACGAGGTTGCGAAATGGGACAGATGTAAAGCTGGGGAACGAGGGATAGGCCAAGGTCAGTCCCCGCACTACCCTTCTGTAGATCGATGTTGTCTCTCTTCTCAAAGATTTTACTCGGATGAGACAGCTTCCCGTGCCGTCTGTTTCCTACGACGGGCGTCTCTCAATCCGCGAGAAAAGAAAAGACTGCAGATAGGACGCTTGGTGAAAGATTTAGAATGAAAACAGACAGGGACCAGGTATGCTAAAAAGCAACACACCAGATGGGTTGTAGGGATCAAGGACCAATGCTTAATGTAAGTCTCCGATCTCAGGCCGTTTCTACTCAGAGGATGGGGGGATCAGGAGACAAGGGGGTGCGAACGAATGAATACCTTGAAGCAGAAACCTATGAAATGCAGCACCCAGCTACAGCGGTGGTGGTGGTGGTGGCGGCGGCAGCAGCAGCTCGACAAGAAGAGACATTCAGCTATCGCCCATCAAGCAATGTCGCACAGTACGGGGATAAGAGAGCATGGCGCTAGCCCGTCAAGGTCAAGAAGGTCTCAACTTGAGCTATACATGATAGCAGTGAATACCAATCCCATGATCCACAGAGCTGGCTGACAGGGTCCCATGTCAAAGGGTGTCGAGCCCACGCGTAGGCTCCGACACCCCCACAAAGTGAACGGGCCCGAATGTAGTTTTAGAAAGGACAGGGCATAGGAGTCAATGGCATCAACTCAAGGGGTGCTTGCCCACGAGAGGCTCACAAGGTTCCATTATGCGACCAGTATAGTGCTGGAGATTCGAAGGTATAATTGTGCACAGGAGTGTACAGAGCATACTTGCAAGGATGAAATTGATGCTCAAGAAAACGGCATGTTGCAATTTTGAGCCCCGTAGGAAAGGATTCACCTTAACTGTCTGGGAAAAGGCAGGGATCTTGTTAACGATGGCTGAAATGGTGGGACCCAAAACGAGCGCTGGATGTGAACAAGCCCAATCAATAGTTGCTTCACAAAGGACAAAAGGCCTGGACAGTAGCAAAAAGCAATTCGCTGGGCCAGACGCATGGCTAAGGTGATCAAAGTCAGCAGTACGTATGTACTTCGCTACTTTGTACCAAGGTGAGACATAGGACGTGATTAGGCCAGTTTTTGAGCCTGCCGGAAGCACCAGGCAGATCCGAGAATGCAGTAGTTGACTGGTTGTGTCTGAATCTGCTGTCGTATTGCATCATTTACTCTGGGTCTCGTTTCTTTTTTTCTTTTCTTTTTACGCTGGTTTGCTTCTTAGCCCGGGGGCGGGTTTGAAATCACGGCTAAAGATAGGTGACTTAAATTCCGTGCAGGACCGTTGGGAACCGAGACTTTCGAGCCTTTCCTAGGGGGGATTCTGAAGCTTCAAAGTGTGTATTACGTTCGCGAATAGGCCCGCAAAAGCAATGTAAGCAATTGCCAAGTTGCTGATTCGATACTCTCTGTACTCCATGATGAGTGGGAATGGTGATATGATATACCCTTCTCCATTCTCCATTCTCCGGGAATCCAGGGTGGGGATCATCCAGAGTAGCTCAAATGAGACGGTCAGGAACCGTCCAGATAGTAACTTGTCGAAATAGATAGTAGCAGATCTCGATTCTTCATCGCCAGCATGTGCTGTATCTCTTGCATGTCTAGCCGGTGATGTCGGTACGGTAAACCTTGACAGGTTATTAGTCACGGTATCTGTAGCATTATCAGTGTGAATATACAGCCAGCTACAGCTACTCCACCCATGCTTCTCTGCTTTTTGTTGGCCAAGCAGCTGTGTCACCACCTAGTCAGTCACTGAAAAATGAACCTACTCAGGGCTTGGTTGCTGAATTTGTCTCTGTGGTCACTATGGGTCTGCGTCGCCCTTGGAGGAGCTTTGCTCAAAACGTGCAACCCTGCAGGACTGGTCCATGCACTATCGCCCAACTGAGTGCAGTATTGAGCCAAAGATGACAAGCGGTAACAGCAATGGCAGCGACAGAAGCAATACAGTGCTGTCGGATACCGTACGGCATCATGCTATGCCTACTGCAGTAAACAATAGGTACCTCCCAAGGTAGTGCTGAGTGAGGAACTTGCAGTAGGTGGGTGGTCATATGCAGACGAGATTTGACCATCAGCCTCAAACGAGATCTCAGATCAACCACAGTCAAGATGGACTTGATAGAAAATGACAAGAGCAGACAGAGCCGACAGCCTAGCCTGGCTAGCACAGGTGACAGACAGAAAGACAGCGCGAACAACGAGACTAAAATCTTGCAGTGGCCTAAATTTGCCTTTCGGCTTATTGTGGGTAGAGCTTCTGGCCAATCCCATCAGACCATGGCCTGCTGTCTTCCATGTTCTCTCTTTTGTGGCAGGCAGGTGGGTGGCCAAGAAGGAGACAGGTATCCAGTATCGTGCCTTCCGGCCTAGGTACTTGCCGACCCGGCACAGTAGATCTACTAATAGCAGGCTGTCCTGAACCAACTGCACCTGCAACTGCACCGTACCTGCCCTGTCCTGAATCTGAAAGTTTGTTCCTGCAAGAGGCAACAGCAACCTGGCTACTACATGAAGCCACACGTGCAGCAACAGAAAGCGGTCCACACGAACTAATTCAACTGACAAGCGTCGTAGGCAATCCAGACTGGTGTCCAGATTGTCGCTGGAATCAAGTACCTGCCAAAGAAACGCACCTACCTCATCCACTAGACTAGTTGGATAAGCTAGGCAGGGAAGGCGCGGCATGTCATGAAAGACTTATTGCCGGCCAAGGAACCGCTTACCGCCGTCATTTACGTCCGGTGAAATTCCAGAGACGCCTGTTTTGTGGAATCACACGCCAGCTACAGAGCACTTTATCCAGACATATCTATCCCCATCGACGAGCTTTCGCATTACAAATTTGACACAGCATCTGACCAAACGCCCGCAATCCAGCCACTATCACATTGCGATGTATTGCACGCTCTTGCCAAGATTTACAGTTATTTTGAGTGATGTACCTTGGAGAGGTTTTCAGCTCAGAATTGAATTCCCAGCCGGACTAGCGTTCTTCATGAATAGGACAACCTAAACTTTGGACGATATTACGGAGCACATGTGGGACGTGAGCGGTACGGCTCGGCTCCTCTGCTAGCCTTGCAGCCTGCACCCAGCCCAGTCCAGTCCAGGTCAACCCCGTCAATAAGATCCGCTCGTGTTGCGCAACGCTTGTTAGGCTAGCTTTTCATTGCCCATTTACTTACCAAAAAGAAAAAGAAAAGAGCAATCGAGCAAAAAAGGAAAGGCCACCGTCTTGTCCAACCTATTGTCTCTGCAATACGTACCTTGTTGCTCTGGGAATGGCAACATGCGATCTGTGCTTTGTTTCTTGGCAGGCAACCCTTCGCAGCCATCAACTGTCGACCATTGGCCGTCAACGCTTCTACATACAGGAAGCATTACACCCAGGTATTTGTTCTAGCAAATCCCAACTTGTATACGGTTTCAACTGCAGCTATCCTTATAGTTTGCGGAAAGGAAACAGCATCCATCAATACCGTTCAGCAGTTGAACGGCTTTACATATAGGCACGAGTCAGAGCATCCCGAATTGGGAACTCTCCAAATATCTACTGTACAACATTACACTATCTCCGTTTTCATGGAATGAGTCGGAAAGCATTGACCAGCCCAGACATTTTGCCAGTCTTGACCATTACAGGGGCCACTAGCAACTCCATCAACAGGGAGCGGGAAGCGCACATAGGCCTGACAGGTACGTCTTCGCGCTCGTTGGCGGTCATGGCGCATCAACTGCAAGGATCACACAGTGTATCCTGCCTCAGATTACAGTATCATTAGCACCGCTTGTTCTCACAAACCAAAGCCGAACCATAATTCATTCGAAAATACCCTCGCGTCCCACACAATTATCTATCCCAGGGGCTTTGAACATCTATTCAACATAGATATGTAAACGAATACAGAGGTGGAGAAGCAAAGCCCGTCTAGTAGTCCTGTGGGCATTTCATGGGTTAAGGCAAATGTAACTGTGGCGCTCAGGGCGGCTCTTGTCTGTAAGGATGAGGTTGTCGTTGCCGTTGGCAATGCTTGTCTGACATTACAAGTGGACTTTTCATCCTTCTCAGCCTTGTTGATGACGATAACGTTCCCCCTTCGCCCTGTCAATCTTGCCTCAGTATAAACACACTATGCAAAAGCTTGCGGCACATTAAACCTCAAAAGCAAAACGCCGCAGAGACCGCAGAGACCGCAGAGGAGTCGTGCGTGCGAATCGCCACACCTGTAGCCGCAACATTTCCTCGTTTCGACCATGTGCTCAAAAGCAATTATAGATTCCTCGGGGAAACTGCACTGGTTTCTCATTTTTCTGCTTGACAGGCCGGACGGCCAGACCAAGCTGTCCAGTTATTGCGCCTTCATGGTACACGCACTTCACTCTTGCCTTTCCGTGTCTCATAATTGCAAGCCAACCCCGCTTCAGCATTCAACGAGGCGTCTCGCCCATGTCCCCAGAAACAATATGGATAGTATAGGTCGTCACTGTTATCATATATCGTCAGGGAGGGCTTTCAACTCAAGCTCCCAGTCTGGATTACCAATTCCCATTCACACCTGAAAGCCAAGGACCGATACCCCCACGCTCTTTGCAGCTGGCTTTGCTTCACCAAGCTTGGGTTCAGACCGGGATCAATTACGACTTTCGCTTGTCATTAGCAGCAGGAGTGCTCAACGTCATCGGCTCATTGCCGATCCCATCAGTCCTATGTGGAAACTCTGCTGTGCGGCTGGTCAACTTCATTGGCTGACAAAAGTATGATGGCCTGCATGTATCAAGAGCCAGTACATACTCTTGAGTAGGCTATTCAGGTCCCTACTGTGCTGTTGAGTCGCGACCAACGATGAGCGTGTTTCATACAGGAGCATCGGTCCCTGGATCAGCGCAATGCTGGATCATTGATGCAGCTAAGCCAGTAAGTATCTGTACACCCATGCATACAGCCAGACAGCCCAAGCCTTACTTCTCAATCTTCACACAGCCATTGACCTCACAGCAGTTACGCTCGATACAGTACAGCTGAGCAAATAATCAGCTTCCGGAGACATTCCTTACGAGCAGATCCTCTGTTTCTGAGACAACAGATGAAGCTGAAAGGCTTGGATGTGACGACCTCTTCAAAAAGTCTCAATGTCATCGTCAACTCTGAGCGAACCAACTACTTCGCACGATGCAGATAAAGATGCATATGCAGTTCTATCGCGTCACCTCTTGAATGTTTAAAGTGTCGTAAAGAGTGTCCGGGCCAGGTTCCATCTGTCCCGTCCCTCATCCGATAGTCAGGTGCGCCATATTGTGTGTTCACCGTCACTGTCTGTCTCAGTTTCCGAGGCTTGGAAGCGGGGACACAAAAGACAATTTCAACATCTAGATCTCGTTACGGGCCGCCACCCTAAAATTATCGTCTGCAACGCTTCTTAATATTGTGTTGACTCAGCACAACCCCGCCCGACCAGAACTTGTGTTCTCAACAATTTGTTGCTTTCCTCCTTGCTTTTATTGCGCATCTTGTCTCTCCTCTTGATCCAAAGACGCAGACGTGGAGGATCTCGCCAGAGCCGAATACTTACATTTACTTGAAAGGTAGACCAGTGCGGAACTCAAGTGCAGTGCCTCATCGAATAACTTGAATAGCCTGGGTCAGCCGATTCGAGGCCTTGGTGAAAGATTATCCCCAAAAGTATATGGCACACACCAGTTGGTGCGAGTCCATCTGCGGTTCGTTTTATGGTTATGCAAAACTCAGGCCGCTTATACGCTGGGAAAATGTTCTCAGCATTGTGCGTACGAATACGTTGCTACTGCTGCACCTCCTGTCCTCCAACGAGAGGGAGAATACAGTGGACTCAACAACACCAAATTCTGCCAAAGTCACAGATCTCGAGTTTGGTACTGTATTCACCTCCGGCATAAACAGCACAATGGATGTCGTCCGTTGCATTACATAAGCGGGTTGTTTTGCTTAGCGAATAATTTGACTAAATTACATAGTCACAGGCCATGAAGCGGATACTGTTAGTCTCGGAGGATAGATTCCGATGCTCTGTCTTGGTATTTAGGAGGCAAGAAGTTGAGAGTAGTCGAACTCTAGAGTTGTTGTTGCACCGGAAGGGCACAACCCCCCAGCATTACAGCAATGAAAGTTCCGATGGCTGATGTTTCTGTATAGCATACCATCAGCAGTTACGGATAGATATCTCAAGGTCTAAAGAGAGAGAGAACTTCTCTCGGCGGCTTTCAATCCAGCCTTGCCTTAAGATCCGCCGTGTTGCGCACTGTCCGGCCTTTGCGGAATACATCCGACCATACCGGTGTGTGTACATGGTATGTACTATTGTGGTTACCCCAGTATGTAACGTGTCAAGTCCTCCTTGTCATTTATTAGAGTCTTTTCAGATTCGTCCGTGGGTGTCAACCAGGGGTATCAATCCCTGCCACCTCACCACCTCGTAACCCCCTTGTCGCCGGGGATAATCAGCATGTGCTGCTGCGCACGGCCGTTCTGCTTAGCCATCCACCGTCAGTGTTGTAGGCTTCTCTTCTCTTTCGAGTGGCTCGCCGGACAATCTTACAATTACTTTTTTTCGCGAGGCAAATTTCAAGGAGCGCGCATGCAGTCAAGAGGCCGGCTACTTACTCTGGTACGTTCCTGCGATATATCCTGTGTCTCTCAATAGTTCAATGAAATTAATGGAAGCTGGACTGTCTCGCTGGAACAAAGCATACCATGATCCCATCTCTTTTATTCATAGCATATTAACCACTCGTGCAAGGTGTTTATATACAATCTCCATTATAATGACAAGTCCGAAACCCAATACATGACTGCTTATTCTAGTTCCAAGCCAGCCTGTTTCATGAGTCCGTAGAAAACACCTTGCTTTTTGAAAAGCTCAGCTGGACTATCAAACTCGACCACTTCACCCTTATCGAGCACCACCACACGGTCGCTGTCGAGGATGGTATTGAGACGATGCGCTACAGTGATGATGGTGCGGTTTGCGAACAGGGGTGATCGAAGGGTGCTCTGCAGCATTGCGTCCGTCTCAACGTCGACGGCAGCAGTGGCCTCGTCCAGAACAAGGATGTTAGACGGGGTCAGCATTGCGCGAGCGAGCGATACCAGTTGTCTTTGACCTTGAGAAAGGTTGGAGCCTGTAAGGACAAACGTTAGCCGTTGAACATGTGAAGCTTACAGGTATGGTCGACGGTCCAACAGCCAGGTAGCTGGCCAAGAGAACCGACCACGGGACTTCATCTTCATGCGAGGCGTGCGTTAAATCACATCTCTTGTCTTCCAGATTTTTGCAGAAAAGAGACTGTTCATCATCGAAGACAAGGGCCAGATGCCTGTGCACACCACATCTGATGAAGCCAGGGAACGCAGAGCCAGATGCTCGGGTGACCGGTGAGGGAGATCGTAGGCCGGTCAAGAAATGCCGACAGAAAGCGTAGTGCCGTGAATTGACTTACCTCCTTCGTTAATCTTGGCCTCCAGCCCACCATCCATGCTTGAAACGTGGTCCTTCAGTCGCGCGTGCTCTATAGGGCTATATGTCAGCAAATGTTACACAGCATGCAATTACAAATGAAGCGTGTGTTGGAATAGGTGTGGTCACAATAGGGCTATAGTGCTGCGATTTACTTACCCAGTACACTCCAAAGCTCAGTGTCGTCATGAACGT